CACCAGTCTGGTGAACCAACCAGACAAATATCCATGAATTGAAGCATTATTGGTTAATCGTGGTCACGCACTAAGTGTTTGACCTACACAACTGGTCTCGGGGTGTCATGTGCTACGCATATCATCGGATAAACGCTTTCTCTCTCTCATTCTGTCTATCTGGCTGCGTGTAATGTTTGATGAGGCAAGTCATAAATGACAGATGACCAAGCCTAATCGAAATTTGAACCAGCATTTGGATGTGAAGACTCTGACCGGGCAAGTCGCTCATTCATAAACCTCCAATAATTCTTCTCTTATTGCTCACCTCGTGATTGACCTATTGTCATTGAGGAAAAGGAAACTAGATGCTCTGGCGGAATTTCGTGTTCTGTTCGGGGTGTGTATGTGGATGGGTGGGTGTGTTCATCTTTTTCATGCACATCGCATTTATCCACATTCTGTATTCTTTTCAGCTGCGTCGTGCTTCCCGGGTTTTACTTCTTCACTGTTCGTTAATCGAATGCGTAGCCCGCAGACTACAACCCAAACCGGCGTACGGTTGTGTAAACTGATAGTGAATTGAACATACTTCAACGATAGTCCGAATATGCTGGCCGAGTGCAGCACACACTAGCAACCAATTACGAGTACGATTGCACTCGGAGGATCGACATCCGTTCACAAATCTTGGATCGCTTCGAATTTCGATATCATTTTCACCGTCCCGTCCCCCCCCCCTCTCCCGAAAAAAAATCCGATTGGAAATATTTTGTGTGAACTTCTTCGATGTTCACCAATTGTATTTGCTGTTGATTTAATTGTGAGCATTTTCGTTGGAAGCGCTGAACCTTTTGCAAAGAATTTCAAAACAATCGAACTCATTTTGTTCACATATATATATATGTATTTTCTGGAAGTTTCCGTTGACACTATTCCCCGTCAGGTACTCCGGGGATCCACGGGCATTACTGAAGTAGGGAGTTTTGTGCTTCATGGTTGTTGAGATCGTAGTAAGTGAGAGAGAGAGAGAGTTCCTGGTAGATCCGTTTGTGGGTCGTATTTTCATTTTCGTTTGTTGAGTGGTCGAATTGTCATGTACTTATACACTCAAACATTGTTTACTGTCTCGCTCTCACTCGTTCCATGCTTTTCTTCCCACCCAACATCACCCGGTATAATCTATATTCAGTTCAGCCTCATGCTTGATGTGCATACTTGATGGCCGACTCAAATCCGATTATTGTGGATCAAACGAATCCGACCAGCGAAGCGGATGGCGCAAAAGATGACGACGACGACACATATTGCAAGCATTCCCANCCCATACCAGCGATACAGAAACAGATTTAGCAGTTCGTTTGCCCAGCTCTGTCGTGCACTCCGAGACCAGTCCTCACCAGTCGAACTCATGCAGTGGACAGTATCATCATCGTCGAAAACGTATACGCATATCCCCATTGGCCCGTGTTCCCAGCGAGTCTCAGAGACCGAGTGAGGGTAGTGGGATCGCAGTGAACCGTTACGTAACAGTGTGCAATGACGGGGACACGGGCCCGGATGTGCCAACTGTTCTCCAACCGGGCGTTCAGTCTCACTCGTCAAGTGTGACCAAATTGACTATGGACTCGGGGGAAGCACATGTCGTGTCCAGTCTGATCTCGACCCGAATGGATTCGGATCTTCAGTCAATTATTCTCAAATATGTTCGTCTAAAATCGGTGGTTCGTTGTTTGGAGCTGGCTGGTTTTTGTTCACCTTTTGTTCTGGCTTGTCTAGACGAGGCACAAATACAACGTATTGAAGATTTTGTCGGGCACACTTGTTCCCTGATCGATTCAGCCTCTATTCGGGAACAGTTTCTCGGGCCCATATTTGCCAAATATCCGGAACAGTTCCGTCTCCCTGCGGGAACCGTCTGTGGTCTAATGTTGGCCTCGGCTGATATCAAGCGTCGTTACCGACGTTTTCCCACTCCTCATGTGCTCACCTCAACCATCGATGTGCCACAACCAGATATGGATTTTCTCCACGAGCTTCACGGTTTCACAGATATGGCATCACAAACCGACATCTCTGTCCCGCCGACCGCATCGAAATTACCATTGTGTTTGCCGGAATCTGATCTTCCAGCCCTACCGATCACTCCAGTCACATCTGCCTCATCTCTACCGCCCACCTCGAACCCTTCCGTGTCAAATGAACTGTCCGTTTGTTTGCCAACAATCACAAGTCACATGGACCCGGTGAGTGTGACTAAACTGAATCCACTGATCACATCCATTGAGCACTCGACCACACCGAACACGGTAGCTATGATGGCGGCTGCATTTCAGGCGGCCGCAGTCGCTGCTTCCGGATCCGGGTATACACAAGCTTTGTCCAAATCGAGCGGTT